GTAGTATAGATGCAATTTCAGTTAAAGCACTTAGAAATACTAAAGTAATTAGCTTACATATTACTATTTATGCCCTATTATTTATTGAAACTTATGGATGAATAATGGGTCTACTTTTATCTTTATTCATTACACATTAGTACATAAATACTATGAATATTCTGGCAGTTTCGTTTTTTATTTTTTCGTTTGTCTTTGTAATACACGTTTAAGAGTGTCATTAAACAGTATCAATTTTAATTGCAATTGCAATTGCAGTTGTAATACAAATACATAATTAATTATAAATATATTGCAACTATGTATGAATTTATATACAAACATTATAAATATATTGCAATTATGTACGAATTTCTTTATAGAGTGTTTTCGTCTAACTTGACTATTTAAAATATCTCTGTTGATTTTGATAATGCGGGAAAATACTACAGAGAGAAGTTATTTGATTGGAAGGGATGCATATTATGATAAGCAAAAAAATTTTTTTCGAGGTTTAAATCTCAATAGTTTTTGAGATTTTAAAGCAGGTTTTATAATGTTTTTTTTTTAGAATAAAACATATTATATTTCTTCTTAAATATGTTTTTAATGCTTTAAACAGTACTATAAAAAAACATATTAAAAACATATACAATTAAAACATATTAAAAATATCAAACTAAACATGTTTAAACCATTTAAAACACGTTTAAAACATGTTTTTTTACTAATTCTGTTTCAAAGTCACCGCGATTTTTTAAAAATGAAATAGCATATTTTTATTAATATATAGTAATATATAGTTAATAAAAAAAAAATTTAAACATATATAATATGTTGTCTTTCAGATAATCTTGGACATAATAAAATCACATTTCTATGAGAGAAAGAAAAGTTAATAACTAAAACGAAATTTGAACAAAAATAACCAGATTAAATAAATAAGCTGTAAGAAAGGAAAAATACGAAAAATTATGTAAAATAGTTAAACTTTTTTTTTATTGTTCGTTTGAAAATTTAACTTTTAACTTTTTAATTATTTTTTTTATTAACTTAACTTTTTAATTAATTTAATTATGGATTAACTTGTATTTTAATTTAATTAAATTTTCAAGGCTGTTAATTTTAACTTAATTTAGTTAAAAAAGAAGTTAACTTACTTAATCCTAAAAAATAACAACAAATAGTGTTAGTTTGCTTTAAAATCAAATTTTAAATTGATTTTTAAGAAATTATATATAAAATAAATTACTTTTGTTGCATCTTTCACACATACAATTAATGAGCAAGAATTTGAAAATATTATGAGATAATTATAATCAAAGCAAGTGCATGATAATGTACGTTATTAGGTATGTACGTCACATAATTATTACTAAGGATTAGAAGATTTTGTACAACACTCAATCGCTGTCTAAGCAAAACTAGTATGCTATTATATAATTATTATTTGTGTTCTAAATATTGAGTCTTATTTCACAAGATAGTTTGCGTAAATCTAGTTGTAAGTGGAGATGTTTGGAAATGCACATGTAAAATATTACGTTTTATAATTTTATATTATAGTTATACAGTCTATTACCTATACTTGTAGATTTTTAATATGTTTTCATAATATTGATATTTCATAAAATACCGCATTCAATACAGGTTATATAAAATTTCTTATATAATGGTGCATTATACATTTTCTGCTTCGTTATTTCGAAATAAAGTAATAGTAAGTCTACGACAGTCCGATATGTAGAAGACCGTATCATAGTCTAGAGTCTATAGAGTGACCTATCGCGGAAAGTCGATAATTCTTAAATCAAGTACATTTTGACTAACAGGAGAGGACACAAAACTGAATCTTTTTGATCATGAAAATCATTACAGTTATAAACTATGATTTTTATGTTTACTAAATGGCTATACAATAATAATAATGAATTTTTATAATTGTGATTGCAATACTTACTGAATATTAGAATTATTGATTTCCATTAAATTTTATTATTTTAATATTAGCTGTGCAAATAATGATGAGCGTCTACATGAAGCAAATGCATTCATAACTAGAACTGTCAATATATTGTTTGTACAATATATTGACATTTTTGCTAAAATGTATGAGAATACTGAGAAATATACATACACATATGTGTGGTGTTTTTTTAATATAAAGCACACAGATACACAACATAAATATTAACATTATTCTTATTATACCTATTCAATTTATATTTTTTACATGAGTTATTATATGATATTATCGTGTATTAAAAAAATATTATATAACAAATAAAATGTATATCGAATAAAGTAAAGAAATTTCGATCATACGGTGTTCTTTACTTTATTCGATTTATTCATACACGGTCGTTCTTCTTATAATGAAATGTATGTATTCTTTTTAATCAATATTAATTGACAAAGAAATTAACTTCAATGTGACAAAAAAATTAACTTTAATGCACATTTAATGAATTAATACATATATATTTACAATATTTTTATCAATTCAGCACCTATAAAACTCTTTCCTTGTGGAGGTGATTGTAGCACAAATACTATAATCATCGCAATGAACTTCACACACTAGAAAAAGTTTTAATAATTATATATTATTTTCTTTAATATATTTAAAAAAATATTTATGTATTTACATAATAGATTGTTTATATTTGTATTATATATTTTATACATATTGACTAGATTATTTCTCATGTAATGATTTAAATTTAAATCAACTTGTAAATCTGAAATTCATCATATTTGAAAGATAGTTACAAACCTCAAAAAGGAATTCAAAACCAAAATTAAAAAGACCAAA